TCGAAGGAGAGTTAAGAAGGCAGGAAAGGCTTGGTTCAGTTCCTGCTGTCTCCAGCAGGATTGGGAGCAAACATCCAGTCAGTTTCATTTCCCTCCATAGGTGGGGAGTGGGGAAGAGGGAACTTAGGAAACTGACCCCAAACAACAAATTTTATCCATTTTATGAGATGGAAGAGGTGAAAGATTCTTCTTGTTGGCTATTGGGAAATGGCTGCTTGAGTTACCATGCTTTGTACAGTGGTACCTCGGGTTAAGAACTTAATTCGTTCCAGAGGTCTGTTCTTAACCTGAAACTGTTCTTAACCTGCAGCACCACTTTAGCTAATGGGGCCTTCCACTGCTGCTGCGCTGCTGGAGCACGATTTCTGTTCTCATCCTGAAGCAAAGTTCTTAACCTGAGGTACTATTTCTGGGTTAGCGGAGTCTGTAACCTGAAGCATATGTAACCTGAGGTACCACTGTATACATTAAAAAAAATTCTATTCCACTTTTTCATATAAAAGTTCAAGGCAACTCCTTTCTACTGAATTGCTTCATGACGATGTTTCCTAGTGAGCCGAATTCTCTCTAGAACCGGGATGGGTGAATCTCGAGATGTTGTTGGACTACAACTCCCATCAGCCCCAGCCAGCACGACCAATGGTCAAGAGATAATGTGTGTTGTAGTCCAACAAGAGCTGAAGGGCCAGAGATACCCCATCCCTAGCACAGAATATAGTTTTTCAGCTTGGTAGCCAAGACCCACCTGTCTGGGTGGTGGCTGCAGCATTTTGGAAATACTGTATCATGTGGTTAGCTAGAAAGAAACAGAGCTGAATTCTGCAGCTCACCTAGTCAGCATAGTTCTGGAATTACAGAGCTCAGGCTGATACTTTCTTTAAAATGCAGACAGTTAAAGCCAGGCTTCCTCAACCTCGGCCCTCCAGATGTTTTGAGACTACAATTCCCATCATCCCTGACCACTGGTCCTGCTATCTAGGGATCATGGGAGTTGTAAGCCAAAAACATCTGGAGGGCCGAGGTTGAGGATGCCTGGGTAAAGCATTTTTCATGTGCATATCTGGCAGATTTGTAAGTTTGGGAAAGGACTGGGTCCAAAATAGAAATCCTAGTTCCACCTGTTGTAATAGCTCCAATAAAAAGGCAATTGCTGTAGGTGAATCAGGGACAATTCCTTCCTGGCCAGAATGGAGCAAGAATGGTGAGTGTGAGACATACTTTCTCTGCCTTTAAGATTTGTCTAAACTCAGCTGGTTGAGGATTGGGGGGGGGAGGGGAGAAAATACACCTTGTCTGTATCTCTCTGACTGGCTGCTGTGATGGTTTTGTGAAATTATGGTGGGGTGGGGCTTTTGCCTGCATGTACCTGTCTCAGTAAATCCTGGGATCTGTAGCTTACCCTCCACAGAGCTGCAATTCCCAGCAGCTTTAACAAGCTACAGTTTCCAGGATTCTTTAGGTGGGGACATGTGCTTGAAATATATGGTGCCTTAGTGCAGAGGTAACCTTTATAATGGGCAAGAAGACAGGAAAAGAGTCCCTTGCTGCCTTACCCAGTTGAGGCAGTTGTGGTCAGTAGGGCATAGGTGTGGCTAGGCCTCTCCAGGTTGCAGCATGAGGATGGAGGAAGGGAAGGCTGGCTGTGAGTAGGTTAGGCCCTAGGCTGCTAGGTGGAAAAGCAGGTGGAAAGAGTAGGATCAGTAGGTTAAAGAGACTGGTAGGCAGATAATTGCCTTTCCCCAACTCTGCATCCTGCAAATAAATTTCTGCAGACTTTTAATGACTACCGTGAAGTTTGTGCATCACTGTAAGCGGTTGCACCACACATGTATGGTTGTGAGGTTCCGCACAGCATTAATGCACATAGGTTGCACTGACTGCCAGAAATGTATTTTATCAGCACAGGTTTGCCTGCTAGATGGCACTATCACTTATTTGGTGATGTTGGTCCTTAAGTGGCAACTATGACCATTCTAATACAAAGAAATGTGACTGGCTTGTTCAAAAAGCTTTTAACTCTTCCTAGATCCAGGACCCCAGGAATTAGAAGGGACCCACCCAGGCATCATGCAGGCTAAGTCCCCGTTCCTCCCCCCACCCCCAACAGTATAGCAGTATATTTCTGTGTGTGCATACTGGAGGTTCAGTAGGAAGGAATGAAGGTGTCCGATCTGGCTGGAGGTGTGCATATCTGATGGGAACCAGTAGCTACATTGGGGAGGATCATCAAGCACAGGCATGTTAAGATTGCAAGTATATAATCAAAATACTTGCCCACAGATTTCTTGCTCTAGAAGTCATTTTAACTTCTATAAAGTAGCTTGCAGTACCTTTTATCAACAGCTGGGGTACCAACTGTTTACCTTCCTGGAGAGTGATAGCAATCTGTACTCTAGATTCTAGAAACATCCTTGCTGGATTATTGCCCTTGAAGACTGCCCAGAAACTGTCGCTGGTTGAAAATGTGACAGCAGCAGGACTGTTCACTGGCATTTAATGCTGCAAACATACTATGCCAGGAGGTTCACCGGTTATCAGTCTGCATCCAGGCCTGATTATAGTTACTGACTTTGCCTTTTAAATCCTTAAATGGCTTGAGATCAGGGTACCCAAAGGACTACCTTCTCCAATGAGTCTACCTTGTTATGCTATAGGGTACCAATTGGAGAATGGGTACCACCACTGAAAATAACCCAACAGTGGAACTCCCTCCCCGCAGCCTTTATTTAATGAGTGTCTGGCAAAGTTTGTCCTGCACTTGAGTTTTTAATGGCCTTTCATTGCTTTTATGATTCTAGTAGTCCCCCTTAAATTAGATCTGTGTTTTCTTTGCTGTTTTTTTTCATTGTCTTAATTTCAGAGGTGTTTATTTGTTTGTAAAGAAGAAAATACCTAGCAGTCTGGATGCTTTGACAATAGGATATAAATCTTGAAAACAGAACAACAGATCCTTCCATTTTGGTGCAAGTTTAGTAGTGAGTCGAGTTGCTTTACTGGATGAGATTTTGCATCCTGTTTCCTGTGGCAAGCAGGGCATGAAAGCGACAGCCTCCCCTCGCCACCCACAACATTTAGTATATGGTGCCTTTGGAACATAGTTCCACCTTTTCTCTTGTGAAAGTGTAGGACCCTCTTCAGGTCATTCCTGCACATGTTTATTCTGAAGCAGGCCCCAGGCTCCGTTTGGCACAGCTTGCTTCCTAGCCTCTGGAAAAAAACCACCCTGACTTAGAGCGTCTGTGAAGCGCATCTGGTGGCTGCGGATTCCAAGACTGCTCAGTTAGTAGAGCAAGACACTCTTGACCTCAAGATCTTGGGTTTGAGGCCTATGATGGGCAAAAAAGATTCCTGCATGGCGGGTTGGACTAGATGACCCTCAAGGTCCCTTCCAATCAGAGGAGTGCTTAGGCTCCTTTGCATTCTTGGCAAGGAGCTGTATCAACACTCCCTCTGTCCCTTGCGCCAAAATACTGGCCACCTAGAGCAGTCCGGGAAGTGGTGCCAACTTGAATAAAATATTGGGTGTGTGTGTATGCAGGTAAATGATCACACACACCATTTGAACGGCAATGCCCATCAACTGGGAGAGGCAGCCCCCTCAAATATTTTAGGGGGGGCTGAATGAACCCTGGTCCCTAGGAGTTGACTCCTATGTGCCTGGGTACCAGTGGGCTTCTAGCCACTCCAAACAGGGCACTGTGGCTGCACCGGGCGCTGCGCCACATGGGGTGCCCCGACGATGCTGTAGGACGGAACACGAGTCTGGGGGTGCCAAATTTTAGGGCGCCACTGAAATTTTGAGTGCCCAAAGCCGGTCACTGCTCCAAGCCAGAGCAGAGGGGTGTGATTTCTGCACACACCCCTGGACTGGCACCCTTGCTGGGGGGCCAACCCCTAGGCATGCTCCAGGGGTGTCCACTTGAATAAAATATTGGGGGGGGGTATGGTGGGAAGTAAGCCCCACCTCACATAATCGAACACATGACTATCTGAATGGTCATTCCCCTCGAATATTTTATTGGGTGAGGGGAGCGTCGAAGCCCCTTAGCGCTTGAGTCCTATGATAAGTTGACGACCACTCTGGACACTTATAATGGGGTGATGGAACCGGCGTGAGGCGCCCAGGCGGAAGATGGTTCCGCCGAGGGCGCCCATGGCCGTGTGCGCGCTGCCGTATTATGTGCGGCATGAGGGGCCGAGAGGTGTAAACCGCCACCAGGGAGGAGGAGGGCCTTGTTGCCCTCTCTCTCTCTCTCTCTCTGCCGAGTGTGTGTTTGGGAGAGCGGGTGATGTGAGTAGCCGCTCTCTGAGGAAGGCCAAAGAGGGCGCGTCGCTGGCGGCGCTACGGCCTGCTGCTGTGAGGAAGGAGAGGCGGCGGCAGGAGGAGGAGGAGGAGGAGCAGGTGCCCATGCCGGCTTGCGAAAGTGCCTCCTTCCCTCTCGCAGGCGGGCTGCGGGTGCCGACGCTGCCGCGGGGCGGCGACAAGGCCCCCCCCCGCCATTTGCCCGCCAACGGCGGCAGCGGCGTTGTGTGTGCCTGACCCCTCCCGGCAGGGGAGCAGCTTAGGCTGGCGGAGAGGCTTCCCCTTCCTCGCCCCCGCCTCACAGTGGCTCCTGCCGCCGCCGCCGCCGCCGCTCTGAGGCGACGCAGTGCAGAGGTGCGGGCAGGTTGCTCCGGCCCGAGCCGCGGCTTCTCCTCCTCCTCCTCCCGCTTGGAGGGCGCGGGAGCCCCTTTCCTCCTCCCCGCGACGCCCCACGGAGACTCCCCCCACCTCCGCCGCGTCCCCGCGCGTGGGGCCGCCGCTGCCCTTCCCTTCCCGCGGCGCCCCACCCCCGGCCATGACCACGGCGGAGGAGACGACGGCGTCGCAGCAGCAGCAGCGGCGGCTCCTGGTCTTCTCCGCGTCGCCCCCCTCTCCGCCGCCGCCTCCTTCTTCTCCTTCTCCTCCGCCGCGCCGCCTCTTCCTCTCCCCCAAGTGCTGCTGCCCCCGGCGGCTGCCGCCGGGCTCCAGGAAAGTAGCTTGATGAGTGTCCAAAGTAGCAGTGGAAGTTTGGAGGGGCCGCCATCTTGGTCCCGGCTCTCCTCCACGTCCCCACCGAGCCTGCAGGGCTGCTCCGCGGCGGCGGCGGCGGCGGCAGCGGCGGCAGCAGCAGCGGCGACGGCAGCGGCCGTGGCGGCCTCAGCGGCGGCGGCGGCCTCCCTGCTCCGCAGCGGCGCGCCGCTCAAGGAAGGTAAACAGCGAGGGACCGGGCAGGGGGAAGGTGCTTCTCGGGGCCTCTCCTCGGCCGCCGGGGGGTGGAGAGGGGAGGAAGGAGGAAGATGACGGGCTCGGCGGCGGCGGCGGCGGTGGGGGAAACGGGCCCTTGGGGAGGGAGGGGCACGGCCGTGTCAGTAGCGGCGGCGGTGGCAGCAGCAGCAGCCGCCTCAGCAGCCGCCGCCTGAGGCCAGTCCCAGGCTTTGCGGGGCCGAGTGCGCGGCGAGGGCAAAGGGAGCAGAGACGAGGCGAGACATGTCTTCCTTCTCTTTTGCATCCGACGGAGGAAGAAGGTCTGGGCGCCCCTTATCTCTTTCTCTCGACACCCCCCTCCCCAAATTACTCCCGAAGTCGGGGGGGGGAGCCCTGAAACCTTCCCCCCCCAGCCTTCTCGCACAAACTCAAGCCTCCCAACCCTTAATCTGTTTTATTTATTCGAGGCACCCCCCTCTTACCCCCCAAAAATGTCGCCTTGAATTCCTCCCACCCCCGCCGCCGTTTACAGTAGCTGCTGCTGGGAGGGGAGGGAGGTGGATGTTCATAATGTTTTCCTAGTTCCACGGCGAATCGATCTCTTCAACATCGATCTCTTTTCTCCTCTTTGTTTTTAAATGGCTTTTTTTATTTTTAGAGATGAAAATATTTCGTAGGTTTCCTTTCCTCGGGGAGATGGTGAATTCTTTCCTTCCTATTGTAAAGTGGGGTTTTATGACTGGGAAGGAAGAGAAGCGGGTGCTCCTTTTATATATCTATCTGTAGATCTATATATAAAAATATAGATGTGTAATTTCCTGGCTTTTCCTGGTTGGTTATGATGATGAACGTGGCTGTTTTGCTTAAAATGAAGAAGAAGGAGGAAAAAAGGGTCGAGTCGCTTTTGGCATCATGGAGGTAGGATGGTGGAAAAGAGACAAAGATCGAGGCACTTATTTGATACAAGAAAGACACTTTCTTCAGCCATTGGCTTCCGACAAAAGTGACGGAGACACGTTAAAAGCCAGTACAGAATGACTGCAACTTTCTCCTTTTCCTCCATCGCATCTTGGATGGTTCCCCCCCCTCTTCCCTCCCCCTTTCTCCCACCCCTCTTGTATTAGAACGACAGTGAGAGAGAGCAGGGTGTTGTGGGTGTTTTGCAGAGAATATCTGTATGAAGGTTATGTGCAAACAAGTCTTTTTTATTGTTTGTCCTTTCCTACCCCCCCTTGTTCCTTGCATTAAACTATGTAGCCACAAGATGTAGCAATTATACAGTTTATGAAATGATTAAAGCTCTCTTATTTTACTCGAAATTATGGTTAGCAAGGGAGAGAGGGGAACTTTCATACAACATATGGTATTCTGGAAGAATGAATATTGCATATTCATGATTTTTGAAATGCGATTGCTCTTTGGCTATAGTGCTTATCTCAGGGTATTGAATGGCTCTTGCCTTTTGTTTTCCTTGTGGGGGGAGGCTTGGGTTCCCCTCCCCCTTTCCTTAAGCACTTGCTGGGCAGCATTAACTTTCCATATGAAAAACGTTAAGATTTTTGAGAAATTAGATGCTGCCAATCTAGAAGACACCTCACATGTCAGGAATATCATTATCAGCAAACATTCTTAAAGATTTCATTTTAAAATGCTTAGAGCCGTGGAAATATATAGTGGAAGTGTTTGCTCTCTTTCTCCATTCCAGTACTCAGACTTGCATCACTCATTGTCACTTTTGCACACGTTCCTAGATAGGAAGCTGACAATAGGAAGCTCAGATTGGCATGAAAACCAATACCTGAAATGGTTGGATATACAGCATATGTTAAAAACACTGATGTGGTAGGCATTTTGGTGTTGGCCATTACTTTGGGAAACTTAAGCTCAAGGGAGAAGAGACAAAGTTTTATATGTGAACCAAGTTTATTAAGCTACTTGCTTTCAGATATTGTTTAACACCAGTAGTGTGTACTACCTATTTTTTAAAAAAATACTAGGTCAGTATTTTTAGACTATGTTGTAAAAATCTGATTGGACGTTTTTTGTTAAAGCTGCTTCAAATATATGAGTAGAAAAAAATGCTCATTTTAGAGGTTATATAGCAGCTAAAGTCCAGTATACACTCTTAGATTGGGTAGAACAGATTGTCATTTATTTACTGTGCTGAGGTGTCAGTCTGTGGTTTGTTAATTCAGCTTACAAGGCCACCAAGGAATGCAATTGGTTTAATACTGTTTTAGAAAGCAAATTGGTATTTGATTTTTTTAACTCAATGGGAAGCAAGATGGTATTCAGTAAAACTGAGAATTTGTATGTCACATGAAAAGTTTAATCCAGCTTCCCACAACCTTCAGCACTTGTTATAAAACTGTGTGTTCTCTTGTTGTATTTGTTTTGGCTGTCTGATTTTATGTTGTAACCTCTAAAACAGAGCACCTCCAAAGAGAGAACTTTTTGCTTTACTGTATGAGAACATGTGTAAATGTAGTACTTTCTGGCTGTATAGTAGGGATGTAGGATCTCAAATTTTCTGCTTTCACTTTTAAAGCATCTGGAAAAATGTACAGGTATGGCAAAACATGGACAAAGGCTCATAATCTTAATATATGCGCAGATTTCTGATTTGCTAAGCCAGTGTTTCGTTTGAAGTGTTTGTCATCTTAATCTAGACAGTTGTCATTCATTGGAGGGCACTAGTTCAGCCTGGTTTGGAAGATGCAAACCCCTGAGAAATGTTTTCATGTGTTTCTCAACAGAAGACTATCTTCTTGAAAATGAAATACTTAATAAGGTACAGAGTTAAAGATTTCCTAGTAATTGAAACTGAATTTGAAGCCTTCACATTATCAAAAGGACTGTCATTGTCTGAATTACGTGACTCCATTGTTGAATAATCTCTGAGTATGTACAACCACTGCTCAAGATGGAGTTGATTGTTGTGTAATCATGATAAAGGCAGAATAACAAAGTTCATCGTTTAGAATCTACTCTGAGTTGTCTGAAATAGATAAACTTTGTGCATCTTGTTTAATGTGCGTTTTGATTAATACAGATTTTAGCAGTATAGTTGGTGCCCACCTTGTATAAAAATCCTATGCATGTTTAATTGGAATTAAGTCCCAATAGTTTCAGTGGGACTTCATGTTGCAATCGTAATGCAAACTTACCTGAGAGTGTCAGGTAGCTGCAAAACACTGTAAGAACTGCTGTGTTCTTACACTGGAAGTGACATCACAAGATAAGAACAGGAAGTCCCCTAGTAAGCAATAGAACATGATAGCATATTTTATGTGACATAAATTTTGTTTACATGTAAACAAATATGACAAATAATTCTAGATTTCTGAAGTTCAATTTTTAATGTATGTCTTTTGGTGCTGAGTAAGACTTCTAGCTCCATGCTTGGTGTAAGCAGACAGTGGCTAGAAATGTGTTTAACTGTTCTGAGACTTCCAAAAATATCTTAGTACCTTGTGACGCAACTGCATGTTACTTGCTTAATTTTCAGGTAAAGCTTGGCTACTTATTTCCATGTTACCCATGGAAGATGCTTATGTTCATTTACAGTAGTGTTTATATTTTTGTTTGGATCGCTGCAGGGCAGACTATCCCATTAACTTCAATGAAAACACTACGCAGTAAGCTATAGTCTTTTAAGGCTACAATCCTAAGCACACATACTATTATGGAGCAAGACCCACTGAATGCACAGGATTCAACTTCTGAGTAAACATGCCTAGGTTTGCACTGTAAGTGTGATATGTTATCCACTGGTACTTTTTTGTTGTTGCCCAGTCTTATGATTTAGTTGCTGTTGAAGACAGTGCTAATATTTCTTTATTGTATGTGATATATCTTCTGTCTTGGTAACAAGTATGTCCCCACTTTCTTGAGAAATGATATCAGTTCCCAAACCTGATCATAATTGGTATCTGAGTATCAAGGTTCTCTGTAATCCCTGCAAGCAAGACTTGGGCTGGGGTGAGAGAATGCAGTAGTACCTGACTTGAAGATACCATTGCTCTAGTGCAGAGATCCTCAAAACTGTCCATCAGATCCATTCAGGGACTCCATGGGAAGGTTGTAGAACAGTAAAAAATATCCACATTTGATCTCTCCCCCCACCCCACCCCCTGGACTTGAGATCAAGGCCATTCTAACTTGGGCCCGATTATCAAAGGGGCAAAAAAGTCCCCAGTCTAGGTCAAATGTTTTTGTAATGCAACTGGTTTTGACAATGATGCTGGTATAGAAGGAAAAAAGTTTTCCCTTTATATTCATTGTGTTAGACCATGGTTGTTAAAATATGTATGTGCTTTGATTAGTAGAATATTAATGGTATCCTGAGACCCCTGCCAATTTTCAAGTGATCTGTGGAGGAAAAAAGTTTGAGACTGCTGTTCCAGAGGTATTGGCCCCCTGCCTTTCTATCTGCGAGCTGTTAAACTGCTAAGACTTAGTGGTGGTAGAAGCATGTCCCCTCTCATAATTTAATTGGTGCTTCATGTTTGGGACATGAACTTAATTCATTGCATGGGCCGCTATTGCTCGTGTCAAAACAAAACAATAACTTACAAAAAGGTTATCTTTGGGATAAGGTGGGCTTGTGAATAAAACTCACATTGACAGAGAGGTGTAGTTTTCTAACAAGTAGATAATACGTGTTTAATAACTAGTTCAGGCTCTTCTTGCATAACTGTTCCAAAATACTTTCTTACGCCAATGATGGAAATGAAATGGGTTCTAGAGTATGTGCATAAAAATACCCTATTAAAACCGAGGTGACCATTACCTTGATTTGAGGTAACTTGAATGGGGAAATAAACAAATCCTCTAGAAGTATTTTTAGATTTGTGTAGGAAGTACCCAAATTGTCCTTTTTTAATTAAAAAAAAAAAAAGGAATGAGGTAAGTTTTCCCTCTGACAATAATGCTCAAGTTTCCAGAGGAAGGTCAAGCAATTTATTTTTGATTAGGTTCTAAGCAGCTGCTTTCTGCACTTAA